CTGCAGCTGGTTTTTGCAAAGTAAATTTGAAATTGACTAGAACACGTTCATAGAAATGAATTATGTCATTTATACAAAAAACGATATCAATGAAAATAATTTTACATACAAAGGGAGGATCAGACTCACAAGTTCTGAATGTAAATTACGCAAAAATGATCCCCCAAAAATGACTAGAAAAAAGTACATGTAAAAGAAAAAAATTCAAACCCGATAAGAAAAATATAGCAAAACGATGGCACATCCAAACAAAATTGGCCAAGAAAAATTACATACATGTATGCTACGTTAATAATAAGAAAAGAGGTAGGATCGCCGGGGTGGTGGCGGGTCTTCAAAATACACGTGCTTCGTGAACAAAGTGGTCAACGTGCGGGTATCAAAATTTAAATGACTTAGCAACTGATCCGTACCGCTGACTACGTTACCCCATCTCATTAAATCATTGGCTGTGAAATATATGTCTTACGGTCAACAGGCGTTTAGTTAAGAATGCATTATATAACAATATTTACATTCAGTGTAGTTTTCTTTATGAAATCCATAGGAAATCTAAACATTCAAAACACTACACGAAACCTTGTCACTGCGCAGTAGAATACACTATAGGAACTATATTGTATATGCATTTTCAATACTCTAGGAACAACATAAAGTACCGGTATATTGTTTGGCTCAATTTAATTAAAAAATATTACCCTATGAAATTATCTATTGTAAAAATATAACAAATGTACCTGTACGTTTAGAATTAATTTGACATTTTTCCTCTCGCAATATACATTGCTTTATTTAACTTTCCACTTTAAATCGGCTCTTACGTCTATTAAGCTCACCAGTTCTAAAAAGAGCTATATTCCACAGATACCACAGGGTCTGACAAGTCTGTTTCGTATTTGGATATTTTACTAGAAAAAGAGATAAATGGTAACCTAACAACAATACTTTATGATAAACTTGATGACTTCAATGTTTCTATCTGCACTTTCCTTTTTTTATGTAGCAATATACCTTTATCACCTGCGTATGGGTTTTATTTCTCCCAGTTGATTCGATACGCAAGAGCATGCTCTGCGTATGAACATTGTCTAAAACGAGACAAGCTATTGACAAACAAGTTGATGAAACAAAAATATCAACAGTCCCGTTTAAAGTCATCATTTCGCAAGTTCTTTGGTCGATAAAATAACGTTGTCAGTAAATACAATCTATCATTTAGTCAAATGCTGACTGACGTTTTTCATACTAATTGTTAGGCCATTATTTACACACTGAATTGTATAAAATTACAATGACCCAAAATTTTAATGCAATTATTATAATAAACCAGAAGACTCTGAGGAGACTGTAGCTCTACTGGTTGTACTTATAAAGGAAGATAAAAGTAGCACTTGGACTTGAAACTTTGAAACAGCAATAAATAGAATAATGATCCTTGGTTTAGTCTGTTTTTGTGGCAAGATTTATTGCAATCAGAATAAAACTGTAGGAGGAGTAGCCTTTTAAAAGAATTTTACAGAAATTTCGAATTAAGTAACCAAGGCAACATCATTCAACAAAATCAAAAAGCAATAATGACAATTATGTATCTCAGTGTAGTCTACTTGTATGCCAAGTTATACTGAAATCAGACAAAACATGTAGGAGGAGTAGCGTTTTGAAAGTATTTAAAAAAATTTCTATTTCTAGTAGCTATGGCAACACCGTTCATCAAAATCCAAAACTGGTATAGAGAATTGTGTATCTTAATGTAATCTACTTGTGTGTCAAGTTATAATGAAATCAGATCAAAACTGTAGGAGGAGTAGCATTTTGAAAGTTTTTCACAGAAATTCCTATTTTTAGTAACCATGGCAACACCGTTCATTGAAATCTAAAACCGATATATAGAATTATGTATCTTAGTATAGTCTACGTGTGTGCCAAGTTATACTGATATCAGACCAAAACTGTAGGAGGAATAGCATTTTGAAAGTATTTCAAAAAAATTCTATTTTTAGTAACCATGGCAACACCGTTCATTGAAATCAAAAACTGATACACAGAATTATGTATCTTTGTGTAGTCTACTTGTGTGCCAAGTTATATTGAAATCAGACCAAAACTTTAGGAGGAGTAGGGTTTTAAAAAATTGTTTACAGACGGACGGACAGACAGACAGACAGACAGACGGACGGACGACGGACACCTCACTATCGCATAAGCTCTTCTGGTCTCTGACCAGTAGAGCTAAAAATGAACAGCAATATCTAAACGCTAACTTGCTTTCCTTTCGTTTAACAACTGGATTTTGAATGCATGATTACAGGAAGAAGGACTCAAGACTGCAGTTAGACATTAATCTGCATTTGAATTAGACCCTAATTATCTTTTTTCTTATGAGTGAGATAGAATCCAAGTATCTTATGATACTGGATGTTGACATAACTCAATCACTGAAAGGCGCTAAATTCATAAAATAGAATAACGAAATTAACAATTACGAAGAGAGAAATTTGAGAATGTAAATATAAGAATTTCTATATAAGCATTGTGCTAGGTATTCAATTTGTCGACACAGCCAGGTGCTGTTATAGGACGGAAGTTTCAAATGGCTCGTGCAGTTTGCTTTCCATACGCAAGAAAGTCTGATCATGTGACCAACTGCATGCCATTGAAAATTGAATTTCAATTTAATTAGTATTGTTATATAAGAAAAAGCATTGGCAAATGTAAATATTATCAATTGAAATATGAAAATGCTTATACTTTACTTGAGATGAATCAAAGATCTTATGCAGTGTCAATGCATGCCTGAGAAAAATACAATTTGATGTTTTTCATGCAGTGGTTACAGTACTTGGTGATTGGAGCTTACGGGGCGCTCTAACCAAGTCCTTTTTAAAACATGTTTTTCTTCACAAAAGTTAAAAAAAAAATTAGTTCCTTCCTCTCATTTTTATTCTACGTATATCTGACTTGTCGATAAAAGATTTTTTTTAAAAACGTCATTAATATAATCAGTAGTTCAGTTATCAGTTCATATTTTCATGTACATGTAAGCCAATGAAACCAAAATGTTTGCAAAGAGTTTATTAACTGAAAGTTGTGAGTCGTAAAGCTGATCGTATAGTGGCTCTCCCGAAGAGCGCCGTAGATCGTATTTTATAATGTACAATACATAATACTCATTTACGTATGAAATAGACAAATCAGATTCAAGTAAACAAGTTATTCAATAAATTTGTACAAAATCCTGGAATTTTATAAAATAAATTGTAATTGAAACATAAACTTTAATAAGCATTAGTCCAACGTCCTAGTATTGTGCAAAAGTTAATATAATGTTAAGATAACTTCAGCAATGTTCCGTTACTGTTCCTGTATCGACTTCCCAAGATAGATAAACATCCTGGTAGCTTACATTGTCCTTAATCCGATTACCAGGTTTGTTTATTATTACGCAAAAGTCTTACACTTTCATATCCCGATTGGATTATAGGTCAATGCACTCTATATTAAGTACATTGTAAATAGTTTAATATGTATTTTTTAAATTAAAATAATTGTCTCAAACCCTATAGGTTTACATACAGAATGCGTGAATATTTGACAAGTTAGTTGTAATAATGGGGGTGGGGGGTTCGTCTGTTCTATTAGATGAGACCCATACACTCTTACACACACCATTCCCCTTTTAAAAACAAACGGTATTAAATATTTCTTACAAAAATGCTTTTCTTGTACTGTAATTAACATATACCGTGCCCTTTTATTGAAGAATGTGCTTGATGTGAAAATTCATCTTTAACTTATTGAATTGAAATGAAACCTATGCTATACATAGGCGCTTGGTTTCAGGTTGGTGTGATTTGCGTATTATGTGTTTTTCAAGGTGTGTCTGAATACACTCTTCAAAATAAAAAAAAAAAAATCGCTGTAATTAGCACGTTTTAAAATATCATATTACTGTATATAAAAAGAAGGGAGGTACACCAGTTGCTATCTTAGATTTCAGGGGATGTCTCGGTTCACACTTGATTTTAATCAATATCTACAATTTCCCTACCGGTGTAGGATGAGATATAGCTTCAAAAATGATTGAATAACGCCCATAAATCGTCTGCCGATCTGAACTTATCGTATAAAACATGCAGTAAGCCAAAACCGTCCTCGATACCTTACACCGAAAGCAATGGAAGTGACGATTTCTAACTAGTAAAATGTAGAGGCGTTCTGGAATTGCACGTAAAGTCTAGAAAGAACACGTTTGCCGCGGTTTAAATTCTGACCGCAATGGATTATATGAGGACAAATCAATAAAAAAATATTCTCCTTAAAGAATAGCTGGACCCGAAGAGATGGAACTAATTTTAAAGGTTTACAACAAACTGTAGATTCAAAATAAAAAAAATATAATTGTTCAATCATCACCACTCCCCAACTTGAGATAAACAGAAAAAAAATTCTTTTCCATAACTACAAGGCCATGTTAGTCATATAAAAAATTGAAGCATCTCCATATTGTGAGGATTCAGAGATCCTATTGGAGTTAACTTTTGGCCATAATATGTGGTCACAATTTTTAAGTGAATATAATATATGAAGTAGAAAAGTCATTTACAAATCATCTGAAGAACAGTAGGAATAAATTTACGCAGATGATTGTAGTGGCACATTGGCCTTTTGTTTTTAGATGGAAATAAAGACAAATTATGTTCTTGATTATTAAAAGCACTATACATTTCTATACAGTCGTTATTGAATTCCTGGTAGAATGCTAGTGCATTGAAACCGTTTAACGTGTTTATGATTGATATATTGAAAAGTGTTTTCGGAATGTCTGTCTTTTGCTCCTTGACAACTACTAGACAATATTCTTTCCAGAAAGTCTGCATAATTAAGTAGGGATGTACACACATATTATTTCTGTACTACTTGATTTCAGGTCCCAGAATAAATCTGCATTGTTCAAAGAATATGACAAATAATTTCTCCTTTTTCATTGTGTTTTCAGAAATATGGATGTATCTAAACTAGTTGTGCTTATACTGTCTATCAAGGCAGTTGAAAATCGGAGTTTTGTAAATGGATCCAGTCATGAGGAAATATCCCGTACCATCAGAATGGAGGAGTCAGAACGTCTAATCAGCCCCACCGCCAGGAAAAAAGTGATATCTTCTTTGTATAAGGATGTCTCGAGTACAAAGCAATGCATGATGAAGTTGAATGAACTAAAAAACGAATATTATGAGAACGTTAAAATGACAAACATGTCAATAGATTTAGTGAATGTCATTAGAAAAGAAATGAGTGAGAAGGCTAGAACACACAATATAGAAATCACATTGCTCAAAGAAAAAGTTCAAGAACAAGATCACTTGGTCAAAATTTTGCAGAAACAAGCTGAAGAATTTGGTGCAAAACTGAGTAAGCATTTGATTTAAAAGTTGTGTTTAAAGAAGGAACAGTCAAATTGTTTAAAATATAAAACTCGTTTAATATCCGTTGTGCGGTTAATGCATAAATTTGAAATTTGCTTAAATATAACATTCTAAAAATTAAAAGAATTGAAACATATTTCTTCATAATTAATTCGAACGGGGTTGAATGCAATAATTCGAGATATAGATTATAATTATGCTGAAGGGGAAAAGAAACGCAGGGTAACATATGTGAAATTTCTTTGACTGCATGGCCGAAATTATGAAAACTGGTCAGAAGGGCATCTAGGTAACTGTGCACTAAAATTGGTGTTCAAATTTACGCAACCGTAAAATGAATGAAGTCACTTGGGGAAAGTTGCAAAAAGTAAGAAAAAAAAATAATGTGCAGATTGATATTGACAGGTTTGTCAACACATCTTGTAAAACCACTTGATGAACTGGAGGTACATTATGTATACACACCATTTTTCGATATTAAAAGTCAATTTGAATTTCTGTCAAACATGGTATATGACCGTCGGATGCTCCATGGGGTCTGGCTTTTGCATTGCCTAAGTAAAGAAAAAGGTAACCACATGTTACTGTGCAGTTTATTCTGAATTTTTCCACCAAAGAACGTCTTATACATGTACGTTGTCAAAGAGGAACTGGAAGGGTTTCCAACCAAGCATGACGGTGACCTTGGCGCGTAACAACGAAATGTCAAGATGTGGCGATTCTTTCTGCAACCTGGGTAGTTTCACATTATTACCGCTAAAACCGCGCTATAATTGTTACATTCACCTAAAAACTGAGAGAAACCAATTGCGCGATTTTGGTTTGTGAGTTCGTCAGCTTTACATTGGTGTTCTTCTTACTCGTTTACATGTGCGTCTTATGTCTCATTTTTTAGCATGTTAATCCCCTGTCCAATGAAGTCAGTGTTTTTCAAGACTTTCTCGCAAACAATCACAAAATCAAGAATCTCGAAAATACGTTCGAAAAAATAGCATTAAATCACTTCAAAGGTTTACATTCCGTTTCTTTTTCCTTTCAGTATATAAAAAAAAAATAAAACAATCGAAAAGTTGACTTTAAAAAGTTATTCTCTGAAGCTAGCAAGACTTTGACTCAGATTAAAATTATCATGAATATACATTTTGGGACAAATAAAACTTCGATATTGGGATTTTTATCTATGCCTCTTGCTTCTATAATATAAATCATGTCCCCTAGGCTTCGTATTTACATGTATAACTTCAGGAAAGTAGAATCCATATATGTGCTTTTTATTTATTTAGTATCCACTAATAATATTTATTAAAATGTCTTCTCTGCGTACAGATGTTTGTTTTCGTAGAAACTGAAAAATTTACGACTCAAAATATTTCTGGGATATATTTTGGTGAACAAGACACTGGATTTAGGTATACCACATTGATATGATATATACACTGAAAAATGGAACATATCCTGGGATTATGAGCAAAACATTAAGTTCTTTGACCATTTTCAATATTGAGCATACTATTATTTAAAATCGTGCTAAAAGTAGCATACAATTTTCAATGTTCTCTTGATACGAAGGTTGTTAGAAAAGTTCGCGGACACATTAATTTACGGATATATATTGTGTACTTTGAAGAATGACGTATGTCTAATTTAAATACTTATCTTTTGTTTATCGGAAGGTAACAAATCAGGTCCATTTACTAAAATTTAGAAAATATACAATGATTATTACTGTGTGACCATAGGATTCATTACTTGACGTTTTATGACGTAAAGTGAAGTGACAACCTGATTCCAAAAATGTTAAGCTTTTTTACAATTCTAAATATCTTTCATCTCTATAGACTTTTCATGTCTTTTTCTTACTTAATAATTGAAAAACTACATCAAGATATGCTATATATATTTTTTAAATGTCTTCTGTGGGGTATCGGATATTAGCGAGATCTTAGAAACAATGCAGTTCAGCGATCAAGTATGAGAAACAATGCAAAATCCATGGGTGCACCGTAAATGCGATAAGCAGGATATTGGGGTATCGCAGGAGTTGATAATCAAAAATGTCAATTCTTCCATTCTTACAAAGTTGACTTGAACACTTTGGTAACAGATACCTGTAGGCAATCCCAAGCAGCATCTAAAACATTTTAGTCTCTTTCGGACATTTTCTTGTCTGCACACATAATTTTTTTAATAGCTCGGTGCTCCAAGACGTTCATTGACGTTAATATATTTTGCCTAGGTTCATCTGTAATTAAACATTCATAACCCCTCCAGTTTAATTCACAATTTGGCAAAATGACGTTTAATTATTATTTTAGCGACAGGTGAAATATCATAAATCTTTATGCGCTACAACAGTGCAATTTTTAATTTAAAAAAATGTCTCTGTAACGGAAAGGCGCGAAAAAGTAACATGCTCCGTGAAGCATGTTTTATCTAAATAATTTAGCCGTACATTTTTTAAAGACCATCAGAAAACACCAAATCTTTGCATATTAATTGGAAAATACGTATAGTGTTTATCTGCAGAGCTTTACTGATTACAAGCAAATAGCACGCTCACAATAGAACTCGTCCGCGAAGTTTTCTAAAAATCCTCGTTCATGTAACGTTGTATCATCTAGCTACTGACAACAAAATTTGTTGGTTTTAAAGTGTCCAATCATTCAGAGCAGTGACACATCTACTATTTGTGATAATCGAAAAGTTTTCCCTTGTGACAAAGATCAAAACCGAAAGCATATCAAACTCAATTTTTTTTTTCGATGATTTTTTTATCATCCGAAGAATTGTTATCTTATTGCAAGCAGAGAATCAAAATTCTAACGAAGTATTTGACTGCATTTGAATCATACATTGATAACATTTGGCATATTATATTTTTATGCTTATTTTAAGAACTACGACTGGTAAACGGCAATTCCCCAAGAGAAGGAAGGGTTGAGGTCTACAAGGATGGTGTGTGGGGAACAGTGTGTGATGATAACTGGGACTTTAAGGAAGCCAATGTAGTCTGTAATCAACTATTCGGATTAGTTGGGTAAGTGGTTTTGAACTCGATTTACATTACCTATTGATTACTCTGTTGAGCAATTTATTTTTTTTCTACAGTCGTATAACATTTAATATCATTTAGGGATTATGAAGTTAATTTTTGGAAAAGCATATATATATATATATATATATATATATATATATATATATATATATATATATATATATATATATATATATATATATATATATATATATATATATACTCTCGACGAGAGAGAGAGAGAGAGAGAGAGAGAGAGAGAGAGAGAGAGTATAAAAGTACGATTTTTAACAGAATTCCTTATAAGGCTTCATACTTTGGAAATGGAGCTGGTTTAATTTTGATGGATGATGTCAGCTGCATTGGTACAGAAAGTTCACTACTGGATTGCAAGCATGAAGATAATTTACATCATAACTGTGGTCACAACGAAGATGCAGGTGTTTTATGTATGAAAGGTATCGTCATGAAATAGATAATTTTAGGACATACTTCATTTGTTCATCTCAAAGATTCCTTTTTGCGATTATCTCTTTTGAAAATATTTTATATTATTAATACTGACAAACATATCTACCCCATCTTTGATGAAATTTCGATGAAATCCTGGCTTACGATTGGTTGAAGGGAGTTATTACTTATAGGCGGTCACAAAAAAAATCAAAAGACGGTTATTACGGAGATATCATTTTTTTTCTAACATTTAAAACAATAAAATGTCAGTTCAAGTTATCTTCTGTGAATGTAAGGAAAATTTCTAAATGTTCTAATTGGTAAGTAAGTTCTGTGTAACGCCCTTCGTACTGTAGTAACAATATATGAAATAACGTCAAAATCTGAATCTGTTGCTAGAGCATTTCACAACAAAATATATTAAAAGGGTGCTAAGAAATTTCTTTTTTTCTGGAAAGCATTAAAACTACGATTTTCGGGACGCGTTTGATTGACATACATCCTTGTACTTTCACAAAGTAAATTTTATCCATAATACTTAAGAAAATAAGGAAATTTGGTGTGTATTAATGAAAAAATATGAAAACTATAATCCAGCAAGTTCAGAGTAGATATGCGAGAAAGCAAAACCAACTCACCAGTATTGTCAGTCCGTGCTCAATGATGTGTGCAGATTTAACAAATTGAATACATATAGTAAAATGTAAACACTAACAATAACAGAGCTCGTGCCTTGTTTACAAACACAGTAGTTTGACGTGATGTTATGAAGAATATCATTGTCATTGAAACTGAAGTTTTTTTTGAATAAGAAAAGACATTTAAAATTGCAAACAATGCAACTGTGTCCAGACCCCTTTAAGGAACACTAAATTAATTATGTTGTTGATCCCTTATCATTATATTTCTTGCTTTTGGGAAACATAGTACATCTTTCAGTTTGTTTTATTTTATTCTTCTATGGATCTTTTACAGTATTCTAATATACTCAGGTGACCGTTAAGGCCCTTGGACCTCTTGATCTCAAAACAACATAGATACATTTCACGGTGTTGCATAAAAGTTCTTAAATTCATTATGTACCATAAATATCGTGCGATTAATGTTGACAGGAAAACGTTACCGGCCGTGAAGAGAGTCGAACGTAAAAACATGCGATTTACAATAAGACTGTGGAGCAGTATTGGTTATCACGCAGAGCAGTATATTGATAATTAGAAATTTTAATTTTTGATATTAAAGATTTGAAATAGAGGGAAAAATATAGGTGAATATATATGTCGTAGGCAAAAATGTGTGGATTACAACGGTGATTAATTTATAAAGAATAGAATGTAAGTCATTGTACATAATGACAAATATTATTACCTACAAATGAGTTTTTAGAACATCTTAGTGCTATACCATTGTGAAATAAATCAATAAAATTTGTAATTATGTAAGGGAACATAATTGTATTTGAACTTTTTTTCAAAATTCTTGTTCTTTAGGACTAAATATCAAAAAATTATAAGGAATATGTTTTTTTAGATTCTTAAAATATCCTGAGATAATCTGACAGTATTTTTAATTGATACATGTAACACCCTTTCAAATAACTGCACTTTAATTATGGCATCTGTAAACAAACCATGTAACTTTTTTATTATCAAAGTTCTGTGTATTGCTGTATTGTTAAATCAATTTAAATGATATCAACAATAATTTCAAAGAGAGCATTTCTTCGTTATTGTTTTTAATGTACTCTTTTCTTCTTTGCTCCTTATTAATCCTTTCACATTCGTAGCACCACCTGTTCGACTTTCGAAACAAAAAGACTTTCAAGGAAGAGTGGAAGTTTATAAAAACAATAAATGGGGGACAATATGTGATAGTCATTGGGACTACAGAGACGCTAGCGTGATTTGTAGATCTCTAGGATATAGCGAGTAAGTTGAAATTACTTTAAGAGAGAGAGAGAGAGAGAGAGAGAGAGAGAGAGATTCCAAATTTAGTTTCACTAGCTCTTTCAAGGTTTACATTTATCTTCAAATTTACAAAAAAATTATCTGATAAAAATTATTTACATTTCAGCTGATAATTTTAAAGAGGTTGGATCCTGTTCTCTAAAGTATTGAGAATATTTTATCAAGTATATTTTTATAGAATCTACAAACATAGTTTAATTAAAAATCTAAACAAAAGGTGGGTTTTAATGCGCTTCTTTTGGCGCCGGCGGTACGGAGCATTTAATATGATTTCTTTGCACTGTAATTACGTCTAACACATAAATCATTTTTCAAAGTTTTTCCTCTAATACTTTTTATCCAAATAGATTATGGGAACAAACACAGACTTTTTTTCATCTTGAAAAGTCACATTGAAATTTATGACAACAAAAAAAATTTCATTGAGTATATCATCGGTGCTTTTAAACTTGTAAAATGTAAATATAAGGAACGTTTTTAAGTTTAGTGTGAATTATTGGTGTGTAAATCACACAGACTTGCACGTAGGCATATTTCTCATGAAGCGCTAGCGCGCTTCATGAAATATGCCTACGTGCCAGGTCTGTGTGATTTATCGTATTATCTTCCCATGTAGAAATTTTCTAATAATTTCTTCTTCATATGAAAAAAAGGCCTGCTATTAAGGGTGCCGCAATCGGTACCCATGGGAATTCCACCAGATTGTTGGAATACCCGATCTCAAAAAAAAAGAAGATTTGTCTAGCAGAAACTCAAGCATAATTTTAATATCAACCTGAGAGTACTTCTGTGTACAATCAGAATGTTTTTTTTAACAACCTAATTTTGCAAGTGACCAATGACAAGTTAAGAATATTTACGAGTTCCATTTTTATTGATAAAACAGCTGTCTACGACGTCAAAAAGCCTGGATTTTAATTTACCGTGTGTAATGATTATATAAAGCGTTGAAAAGTCGTACGTTTTGATGTTATTGATTTTGATAAAATTTTGTAATTTCCAATTTTCTTAAAGTTCTTTGGAGTTTTTAAGTATCCACATCTAATGTACACCACTTCTCGAATATCCTGTTGTACAGTACTCCTGAAGTTTCTCTTTCACTGCTGTAAATATTTTAGTGAGGAGTAAAGAAAGAGGCTTGGAAGAACATTTACTTGAGCCCCCTATGTATCTTTGTAAGGTTTTTTTTATGGAGTTTTGGAATCCAGTATAGGTATGGTAATTTAAATTTATGTTGATTGTTGGGAATATTAAAAATATTCGAAACTGACATATGGTTTTGAAGAATTTCCTCCTTAGAAAGGGAGTATGGGTATAAGTTGGATTACCACTTGCAAAATTAAATAACATTCATAAAAACCCTCACAAACAAAGATAAAATTTAATTGATGACTTCATGAATTGTTTAGCCCTACCAACATAGTCAATGGGAGGGAATTAGTACCCATGTAAATACCAACAGATTGTAGGAAGATCGGGACTCGAAAAACTACAGAGATATATTTAATGAGGAAGTACAATTTATTTTTTAAATAATCTTCACAGAACAAGTATATATATATATATATATATATATATATATATATATATATATATATATATATATATATATATATATATATATATATGGGATGATTTTCAGTAAAATAATTCTGTAAATGATTACTCACGATATGTTATCCCAGATAATCGTTCGTTCCCCCTTTTCTTTGTTTGAAGTGAAGGTCACGGAAACTATGTCACAGTACAAATTAAGAGAAATCATTGTATGAGACAAATCTTGTTGAATGCAAATATTTTAGACATTTGGGCACCCCAAATTAGACCATGTAGTCATGTATTTACTATTTTTTCAAAAATAAAAAATACGGACACATTTGCAGTCAATTTTACATTAGAAAGTGTACACTAAGCATTATCATTTAATACCTTTTTATTTTCCAGGCTCTTTTTTAGGCAAGGACTGATTGTTTCAAGTGCAGTTTTCGGAGGAGGGACTGGGCCGATTCATTTATGTGACGTACAATGTAGCGGAAAAGAAACCAGTTTGTTTGATTGTACATATTCAGAAATACATAACTGCAGTCACGCTGAAGATGCTGGTGTTTTATGCGTTCTGCCAAGTCGTACGTTAATTCTGTCTATACTTGAATTATGACGTTTTTTTAAACCCAAATAAGAATATCTAGAATAATTGTAAATTATACTACAGGCCTCTTAAGATTGCGTAATGGAAAGTCTGCAAACGAAGGGTTTATAGAAATGTCAATTAATGGCAAATGGGGAGGTATCTGTGATACAGGCTGGAACCAAAATAATGCTGAAGTTGCCTGTCGATCTCTAGGATACTCTGGGTAATTATTTTTATATTAAGCAGTCTGTTTAGTAAAAGCAGACATCCCTGACAAAAAATACTATAGTTAACTACAGTTTACTATAGTTAACTATAGTGATAATTTTGATACTATGAAAACTATAGTTAACTATAGTGATAACTTTGACACTTTGATTTACTATCGTGATAACTTTGAAAACTTTGATTTACTATAGTGATAAGTATGACACTATAGTGATAACTATGAAAATTTTGATATACTATGGTGAAAACTTTGATTTACACTATAGTGATCACTTTGAAAACTTTGATTTACTATAGTGATCACTTTGAAAATTTGATTTACTATAGTTAACTGTAGTAAACTTTAGTTAATCCTAGTTTACTATAGAATTTTTTGTTAGGGATATATGGCTGTTATCATGAAAAATAAATGACTAGATTATTAAAATATTGAATTAGTTATGCTAATTGATTTGATTTGATAACGATGGCTGCTAGGAATCATAAGTATAAAGAATCTTTGGTTTTTTATTTACATATGATAAAATATATTAGTTTCAACACAGGCTTAGTTAATAAAAGAACCCTTAAAATGTTTTCCATAGAGAAAAAAAAACTTATTTTTAAAAATATAAAATATTTTTGCAAATATTAAAATAGAAAGAAATTAACTTGAAGCGAGTAAAAACGACAGAGTAGTACATATAGGACAGTTAATCCAAAGGCTTTGCTTTAACATAATCATTATATACAATAATGTTCTTCCAGGATTTCAAAATATCTATTCCAGGATATGAAACTATAGAATAAAGAGAAAAATACGTAACATTTTAGAGGTTTGCCTATCAGTTCATCTGTGTTTGGAGAGGGCAATACACAAATATGGTTGGGCAGCATAAATTGTAGAGGACATGAAGATTCTTTGTTAGAGTGTACGCAATCAGCTGTGGGATCCAGCACCTGTGATAATAGTAATATTGCTGCGGTTGTCTGTTATGATAAGGGAAATGGTAGGGAAAGATGCGAGTTTTTTTATATTGTATGATTAATTATTAAATTGATTTCTACATTATTATACTGTTATGAAATTTAGATGTAGTTAGAATGATTAGTGGAGAATATCTATAATACTTCTCATTCCACCCTATAGGCCTCATCAGATTGCGTAATGGAAAATCTGCAAACGAAGGGTTCATAGAGGTATTAATCAATGGCAAATGGGGAGGTGTCTGTGATACAGGGTGCAACCAAAATAAGGCTCAAGTTGCCTGTCGATCTCTGGGATACTCTGGGTAATGTTATACATAATAAGTTAAACAAAGCCATCATCGGTGTATTAAGTTTTGACCATATCAGGCGAATGCTGAATTTATTATTGCTTATTAATTTGATTTTATACCGAGGATTGCATAGAATCTTAGGTATAAAGAATAATATAAAACGACGAATAATTTCATATGATAAAAAATATTATTTTCAGCACAATTTATATTTAAAAGATACCACGCAAAATTTTACTTTTCACAAATGTGAGAATAAAAATCAATATGTAGTACATTAAAAAGACAAATAATTACATATAACAAAGTGAACCTAGACTTTTACAAGATAATCATAACTTAAATAGTTTTCATGTATACTTTTTAAAACTTTCAATTCCTTTTTAAAATGTGGAACAAAATAAAATACATTTTAGAGGTGTGCCTATCAGTTCATCCGTATTTAGAAAGAGCAATACACGAACGTGGTTGGATGGCATAAACTGTAGAGGACATGAAGATTCCTTGTTAGAGTGCACACAATCAGTAGTAGGAACCAGCACCTGTGATGATAATAAACACTCGGCAGTTGTCTGTTTTAATAAAGGAAATGGTAGGTGAAGATGCAAGACATTTTTTCATATATTTTATATTTTATTAATGGATTGATTATTTCACGTATTCTTCTGATTTTCAGATGTTGTTAGAATATTTAATGGTAGTTCTGCACATGAAGGCCGGGTTCAGGTTTTGATAGATGGTCAGTGGAAAAGTGTTTGTTTGAAATCATGGAACACAAACTATGCTCATGTTACTTGCAGAAGTCTTGGATATTCAGGGTGAATCATGTTTTTTCTACTAAATCATACCTGTTTTAACGTTAAATTGGTTCAATTCATCATTTACTCATTTCATTTTCATAATTACAATGTACTAGAGTATTAAATTATAATAGTAGCATATGGAATTTTGAATCTAATGCATGTTGCTGATGTAAGCGTTCCTTAACTAATGGTTCAATAGATTTTAGATAAACTTTATACGCTTGGTATTTTTTTAAAAAGAAATCCACTTGCATTGTTGGCATTTTTATTTTAAATTAAAATTTGTCGTTCTTTTGAAGTCGATGTCATTTTTATTGAACAGTTTCCAAGTTGATATTAAAACAAGACGCGAGAGTCATTTATTTATAATATATAATTATGTAATCTTTTATCTGTTAGAATATCTACAAGCACACCTTGTGATTCTTTATTACCTGACCTGTTCTTGTTATCTTCTGATGCCTTTTTTAAAAACTGTCTATGTTAGAAGAAAAAAACCCCACTTGTTATAGATGTAAATTTACAACACATTTTCCGTTAACTTTCCATATTTATGTACAGCGTGAAAACATCCCATTATTACCTTCATATGGTGTATATGTCCTATAGCTGATTCGGTAGGTAAGAGCATATTCGGTGTAAATTTAATATTTGAATCGAGGCAGGCTACTGACAAATAAGTTGATTTTACAGAAGTTTCAATCTCATTTAAAGTCAGCAATTTGCAAAATCCATGGTCACTAATGACCATGTTTACAAATACAACCTATCGTTGGGTCGAGATTGGACTGACCTGTTTCATACCAATTTTTAGGCCATTATTTTCATACTTACTTTGACTGCAGATTATATTTTTTTTAAAACCTGATTAATACAGAGAGCTCAATGCATGTGTGACCGGTCGACAGGAGATGCTTACTCTACTTAGGCACCTGACATCTGGTGTCTTCATGGGTTCATGTTTTTGACCTTATATCAATTTGCATTCGTTTTAAGATTTGTGAGATTAAGCGGTGTTCGTCATTTTTACACTTCTGTATTGTAGAGGTTTTTCAGTACTGTCGTCTGCGTTTGGAAAGGGCAATGGACAAGTTTGGTTAAGCGATATTAATTGTGACGGAAATGAAGATTCCTTGCTTCTGTGTTCACAATCAGCAATTGAATCCAGCATCTGTACTAGCGGAAGAGAGGTCGGGGTCATTTGTTACAACACAGAAGATGGTGGGTTATGTTTCATTTTTTTCATCCGAGTAGGTTTCATATTTTATTGCAAATCAAAATTCCATGACGTCACTCATTTTAAGTCCCCCATTCCTGATATCCTGAATTATTCATTTCCTCTTTACTTTATGAATTACTACCTCACAAAGAATAATAAAAATCGTCAAGGATTCCTAATTACATGAAGTCCTAACGGGTTTGGTTTACTTTGGAACAGTAAATATTAAATTTTTCATCTTGAGGAGTTTTATAAGTGATTTAATCATCCTTCATCTCCCGACTTTGTTGAGTTTTTTTAATTGCCATTGTTTTATTTATCGATTTCTTTCAATTAGTTTTAGGAGAAATTTGGTTTCAGAGCACACTGCCTATCTATACCATTTCAGTTTTTTGAAATTAATTTTTAGACCAAATACAAAAGCTAAGTAGTGTTTTCTCCCAGAATTTCTTCTATGAACTATGGTGACCCATCTGAAGTATCATTAGTATACCTAGTATTATGAAAGTATAGTCTCATCCATCAATTACCCTTACGTCTTTATTATTCCGATTAAAATCCTAAGAACTTCTGCACGACGTAATAAAAATTAGAGGAAAATTAAGGTTTCTTACCTGCATCCCCTTTAAGAATGAAGGTAATAAACAGTATGACACAGTATTCAAAATTGGAAAAAAAATTTGATCCCAAATTTTAATTGCTTTTATATTTGGTATAGAAACTTCCAAGATATAGTATCAAAAACTTTCTCTAAAGGAATTTTGAAGTTTATATCTATCAAAAGTTTCTTTAGAATTTTATATCTTACATGTTGAGAGAGCGTTTCAGAACTTTTTTTAGTTTTATAAAAACGTGTTTCAAAATTTCTTTAACAAAACCTACGAATTTCGGACATGTTTGGTTTTTAAACATCCTTGCACTTTAACGGATATAAATAAGAGCTTTTAAAACCACAATTAAGAAAAGGCAGAATAAAAATGAAAATAAAACCAACATTAACACTGCCTGCCTGTACTCAGTGATATGTGCAATTTCAGCAAATCAAATACACCCAGTAAACCATAAAAATAAGTAAACAGAGCTTGTACCCATGTTTACAAACACAGGTGTTAGATATACGGATATAAAGAATACTGTTCTCATTGAATATTGCTTTTTTATGTACGTACTAAGCAAAAACATGGAATTATTTTAACAATTAATGTAGAAATTTTAAATTGTTAACAAAATTACAAAGCAAATGGGCCCATATCCCTTTTAATTCGTTTTTTTCATAATAAATATGTCCAATATTTTCACCAATGAATTACCATAAATAAAACTAGTTTGGTATCCATTAATGTGATTATTTTATTGAACACTGTTTTAATCTGTCAACAAGCCTGAAGGCTATTTTATAGAATGAAATGATCGATTCATTGATTGATTGTTGTTTATCGTCCCATTCGAGAATTTTTGACACATATAGAGACGTCACCGTTAGCCGGTAAAGGGCTTCAAATTTAGACCTATACTCGGCACTTCGGACCATTGAGCAGTGAGGGTTCTTTATCGTACCAACGCCTACCGTGACACGGGACCTCTGTTTTTAAGGTCTCATCCGAAAGACCCGTGACCTTCACTTCTAGTGCCGGGCGCTTGGCGAAGGAACAGTTACTACCTATGTTCACGTCTTAGGTTTGACGCGGCGCGGCGAACGAGAATCGAGTCCGGGCCTCCCGATCGCGAAGCGAGCGCCCTACCACTGGGCTATCGTGGGAGGGGAAAATACATTTGAAAAACAAATAAGACGCAAGTTTTTCTTCAAAAAATGCTTTTGTTTTCCAGCTTTTAGTACTTAATATTATGTTATTATATCTAATTTATTTGAATTTGTAAAATGCATTAACTCATATGAGGTGCTTATTGAACTTGTATTGAAGACATCTGGATTTCTGAAAAGAATGATAAACTAGAAATATGTCCATAGAACATGAATGAATAGCCCATAGTTCATCAGTGATTTCAACATGAAAATTTGTATAAGTGTATGAAGTTTGTTGAAAAGATATTGAATAGTTTCTTTGAAATGAGTTTTATACACAAGAAATTGTAAAGTTAAAGGTCAATGGGAAGGTCAAGGTAAAAAAAAAAATGGGCACAGTTGATAAATTCTCACCAAATAACGTATCCGTGCGTAAGCTTGAATATAAATATCTCAAATAGTTTTTTAAAACAATGCTAAATGCAAATTAAAGGAAAAAAGTCAAAGCAAAGGGACAAGGTAAGAATGTTGATGCTTTTAATAGCACTCACTAAAAAATATCAGCATATAAAGTTTGATATATACATTTTTATTTGTTTTTTTTTAAACTGGACTAACACAAAATTGAGAAAAGTGAGGTCAAAGGAAAGAGCAAGGTAATAAAATATAGATGAAGTTGAATAGCTCTGACCAATATGTAACAGCATTTAAAATTTAAAAAGTATCTTGAAAGTTTCTTTGAAACTTAGCTAAACTCTCAGCTAAGAAAAGTGAAATCTAGGTCAAAGAAAAGGTCAAGGTAAAAAATGTTGATGAAATTGAATAGCTCTCCTCACTGTTTATCAGCATATAGGGTTTGATAAAATATCTTTAGTTTCTGAAACTGAGTTACACAATTTTTATAACTAAGTAAAAGGTCATAGGAAAGGTCAAGGTAAAAAATGTTGATGAAGTTGAATAGCTCTCACTACTATATATCAGCATATGAATATGTGAAATAGTTTCTTTGAAACTGAGCTAAACGCAAAGTGTGAGAGAGGGACTGAAGGACGGAAGACGGGACATGACAAACACTATATGCCATGGCCATATTCATTGCAGGGCATAAAAATCACAGGTAAGCTTATGAGTTCCAGGAATAACATTTTCATTTTCCATATTCTAAAAAAAGGTTTTGATCTGATTCTGTTCCAAATATAAGATTAACGGAGTAATTGTCCTTTAATAGAGCCTATTTTTACCTGTTTTGAAAACTCAATTAAGCGAAAATCGAATCGATCGATAACGAGCCTGTACTAGCGTGACGTTACTTCATGGACCAATTGAGGGGTCATTAAAGTTGTCAATGAGATTTACGCCGGGAAATAACGACGATAGTAGCCAGGATATGTCACAATTGCTGTAGAGTTTTGACAAATCGCACTTCATAAATGAAATATGGAGACAACAAACAGTAATCAAGCTCAAAAGTCCATTCAAACAATACAAATGCCTCGTTTTAGAAATTGTTCGTAAGTAGGGCATGCTCGTATTAAATCAACTGGGAGACATAAACTCCATATACAGGTGATAAGGGTATATTGCTACGTATATGAGGGTGGTTGAGGATAGAAAAGTTGAAGTCATCACGTTTATCATAATTTTTTTGTAAGGTTACCTAGTAAAATATCCAAATATGAAACAGATGTGTCAGACTCTATGGTATCTTTTAATGTAAGTTCATTGGGATATATCGAGTTGACAAATGAATGGAAGTAACTATTGTTAATTGATAATACGTCGTCAATGTCGAGCTATGCATCTGAGCTTTCCAATTTAACCCAGATGCTGTTTCTAATGAGAAATTAAGATTTCGAATCAACCCAGAACTTTTAAGGATCAACATGAATCAAATATCCAATAATTACAAAAACCCAATTGCAACAAAATTCTTTTCTTTTTAACCTCAAGTTGAATTTTGAAACAGTTACATG